AGACTGAGTGACCACGGGGGACAGACTGAGTGACCACAGGGGGACAGACTGAGTGACCACGGGGGACAGACCGAGTGACCACGGGTCAGAGCCAGCAGCCAGTTCATGCAGGCCTAGGGCTGAAGCCGGGAACACAGGCCCTAGGCCAGTGCCAGCCCCTGGTCACAGGGCCCCTGAGGTGGCTCTGTGCTCCCCAGACACACCGGAGGCGGCTGCCCGGCCCCTCGCGGCCTTCCTGCCAYGGCCAGCCCAGGGGCCGGGGGCTGGCTCCCTTGGGTGCCTGCGCCTGGGATCAGCAGGCTGATGCGGGCCCTCGGTGTCTCCCAGGGCCTCTCTCAGAAGGAACTTACGGACCACCAGGGGCCAGCAGAGGTCTGACCCCTGTGTGTCCAGGAGGTGGAGGGTCCCCCATTGGGATATACTTATACCAAAAAGCTCCTCCTTGCTCCTCTGAAACTCCAGCGTGACCGGGCATCTCCTGAATTGCACCTGTCYCCCGAGCCACGCCCCCCAGGGTGGCCCTCGGCTCCCAGGGCCAGCTGTGGTGACGACTYACCAGGATTCTCTTGTAAGGAAATTCCTGTAGCTCCCCGTTCCGGGGGGAGTCGAAGACCACGGGGAAGGTCTTGTGTGGCGCCTGGACGTAGCCCAGCTCCATCTCATCCTGCCAACGAGGGGACATGCCCACTGTGGACAGCCAGCAGCTCCCCACTTCCCCATGGGCACTCTGGGGAAGCCCAGTCTGGGAGGGCAGGGGTCAGGATGCCTGCTGATGGAGGAGGGGCTGGAAACTCAGAGAGGGCATGTGCTTGCTTGTGGTCACACAGCAGGGCAGAGGGAATGAGAACATAGACAGGACCTTGAGGGTGCCAGTATGGGGTCAGGCCAGGGTGGACCCAGAGAGGCTTGAGATGGACTAACAGGCCACTGGGCACAAGTCATCTCCTTTGGCCTTGGGACAGCGCCAAGGGCCCTGACAGGTGCAGATGCCTCCTCCTCKGACCTCGAGGGCCCGGTCAGTCCTGACCCCTCTGGTTCTGAAGGCCAAGGTGGCCCAGGGTCCATGATCTGCACACCCAGGCCTGTCATCCCTGGTGGCAGACTAGGAAGGTGGGGGACAGAGATGGCTGGTCATTTGCCCGAGGGCCCCAGCGGGGCAGACTGGCCTTTCCCTGCAGGTGGAGCCCTGGCCAGGCCCGCCCGGGGCCCGCTACCTGGATCCAGCGGTCATTGCGGTTCTCGGTCTGCGGGCACACGGTCAGCTTGCAGCCGGCCTTCCTGGCCAGCTCGGCCACCGCTTCCACGAAACCYGTGTTGTTCCTCACGCTGTGGACAGCCAGGGACAGGGACTGAGAGCCAGGGCCGGCGGGCGGCTGGGAGCCTGGGGACCCGCTGCCCACACTCACCGGCACACGTACACCTCCAGGGGCGGCAGGGTGCTGGGCGTCATGATCCAGGGCGCCACGCGGAACACCACCGTGTCCGTGAAGATGGGGGCCTCCGAGAAGTCCTGCGGGGACCGCGGGGGGACAGCACAGGTCTGCCGTCTGGCGGCCGGGAGGGGGATCTCGTCTGTCCCTGGGGCCCTGACAAAGCCCGGCTTCTCCTGGCTGGAGAGGAGCCAGCAGCGCGGAGGAGAAGCCTGGGTCCCCGGAGCCCAGGTGTCCCCCCCCCCTCCGTGCCTCTGCCAAGCCCCACCTCATTGGAGCCGTCCAGCAGGGTGACGTGGAAGGACAGCAGCCCCGGGAAGCCGGCGTCAGGGAAGCTGAGGCCCTCCACGAAGAAGCGCTCTTCGTCCCCGTGGAGCCGGGGCACCTCGTAGGACACCTTGTCCTGGCCCAGCACGCACCTGTAGGCCCCGCACGAGTCCTCGGGGCCTGGGAGGAGGCGGGCGGCTGTGACCGCAGGGGCCTGGGCAGCAGGAGGCCGGGAGGGCCGCGGCCTCACCCCGACGACACACGGGACAGCCCCCGCCCGCCTCTCCCTGGCGAAGGGCGGAGGGGCTGCAGGTGTGACCCCCGGGCCTGCAAGGTCCCCGCTGTTGGCACTCTTCCCGGGACCCGGGCCTGCCCAGCTGCCAGGGCGGCCACCCGGGCGGGGCCGCAGGGACTCACCGCAGACGTGGAAGACCCGGGCCCGCCTGGCGTCGGAGCTGGAGGTGTGCAGGACCAGCCTGTGGTCCTCAAAGAGCGCTGCGGGGCCCTGGGTGCGCAGGACCATGAGGGACATGTCTTCCAGGTCTGGGGGCCACACAGAGGGCAGTGACTCAGAGAGGTGCTGGGATCCCCTGCACCTCCTGTCCCGGCCACCTCGTCCCCAGGACAGTGAGCGCCAGGACTCAGGTGTCCCAGCTGTGAAAACACTGGAAGCCACCACAAGAGCACCACGGAGCCGTGTGACAGAGTGACATGTGGTGCTACTGTGAGTCTCATCTGCCCAGAGACGTGACATGCAGAGCCGCCAGCCCTGTGCCTGGCCTGGAGAGGGCAGAGGCCACCCGGCAGCCACACAGGTGGGCTGTGAGGCTGGGCAGGACCCTCCCCCCGGGCCTCTCGTTCCCATCTCCAGTGGCCCCTAGAAGCATCTCATGTGGGAGCACTGGCCACCCCCACCCCAGGTTGTCCCTGCCTGGTCCCTCTGGTTGCTGTGGTCCAAGTGGACCTGGCAGAGCAGGCGCCCCTGAGTGAAGGTCAGAGGTCCGGGGTGGGGTCTGGATCAGGGGCTGGAGGGGGAAACCTTGGACCAAGCAGAGGGAGGCTGGGAGCCTCCTGGCCTCTGGGCCTCATCTCTGGGTTGGGATGGTGACACCCTCCCTCCTGATGACCAGACAAGATACGTGAGAAGGGCAGGGCATACAGTAGGTACTCAAACAATGCTGCATCCTTTGGTCCCCTGGAGGAAGGGGAAAGCAGGGTGGATCATTTCCAGAGGTTCTGGAGCAACAGGAGTGCCACTGGCTCTGGGGACACCAGAGAGACATGGCGCCAGCCTGAGGTGGGTTTTGAGCAACGCCACGGTGTGCCCAGGGTGGCCACTCCGGCCCCCAGTTCTGCCACCAGAGCCCCACCTGGGGGTTGCCCAGAACCCAGGGCATCTGAGCCGTGACCTGGATGAGCAGGGGCCCAGCTGCCCAGCTCCCACCTTGTAGGCAGCCCACATGCTGGTCATAGTTGTCCTGGACATCGCTGCTGAGGTCGTCCCTGTCACAGTTCACCAGCAAGATGGCTCCATGCCCTCCTGGCCCCCAGACCCACTGCCGCTGTCGGTGAGAAAACAGAGCAGGCGACGGGCTTGACCTGGCCCGTGCCGCCCTCCGGCCCCGTGAGCTGAGGCCCCTGCCGGTCCCTGCACCCCAAAGCTGCCGAGTCCTCCCMGCCCACCAGCCTCCTGGGCCCTCCTCTGGACACCGGCTGCATTTAATGCACCACTGTGGGGTCCAGAAGTCAGTCACAGTTTCGCATTCAGCAGGTCCCTGTTCGCCCAGACGGGGTCAGCTCCTTGTGGCCGGTGCCATGTCTCCTGGCTGCCTGTCCCTGTGGTCAGGTTCTGCTAGGACAGTCGCACGGGTTATGTGCTGACTGCGGCCACTTTTACCCCACCGAGGCAGGAAGACGCCCRGCCCAGGGCCTCAAATGTCCACCATCTGACCTTTATTTTTTGAAACGYTTGCCCACCCTTGACTTCGCCCACAAATCCAGAACTTTCCTCCAACAAACGGAGGCCCAGCCCAAGGCTGGGAGCCTCGTGCCTGGTGATTTCTGGTGAAGATTTCTCTCTTGGTGAATGAAGATCCCATTCATCCCTGGTCCCTGGGCCTCAGCATCCGCTGGGAAGCAGGGGGATACCTGTAATGGCCTCTCCCCGTGACCTGGGCTTACAGCAGCTTGACACTTCACCGCCCCCCCCCCGCCCCCCGCCTGGCCCAGGTGGAGAAACCTACCTTGTCCACGAAGTTCCCGTCCTGCCCTCCCTCACGGTTCAGGTCACAATCCAGCGCGATGTCTGCAGGGGAGGCAGTGGGTGGGTCCCCACGAGGTCCCCAGGAGCCCAGAACAGATCATGACTTCTGTGTTTGTAGCCCAGTGTCAGGGCCCRTCTGGGGCTGGACAGGGGTGTGGCCTCTCCCAGCAGGCACAGCCAGAGGTGGAGGCTCTGCAGCCTCCCTCCCTGGGCTGGGTAAGAGCCCACSGGGAAGATGAGGGGCAGGGCCACAGCCACCCCCTCCAGGAAGCCCTCCTGACTGCTCCTCTCTGTATCCCCCAGCCCTCACAGTCTCGGGCACAGCCTGCACCGAGCCTGCATCACCAGGGGACACTCTTGGTTTGTGTGAAGCCATCTGTGTCGCCTCCTTGGGTTGGGACAGCGAKCCTGAACTCTGGTCAGGCTGACCAGGATGCCCATCAGCTCTGCCACCTTCCAATTGTGGGGCCTCTCGGAGCCTCTGCTTCAGCTGCGACCCACACTCTCAGACCCACATCCCAACTTGACAGTTTTCCCTAGGAATTTGGGAGATCTTGCAGCGCCAGTGAAATGTTCCAGGGGCCTGAATCAATCTTTCTGCATCTGCAAAAGTCTTCTTAGGCCAGGTCTGGTGGCTCACACCTGTAATCCCAGAGGCTCAGGAGGCTGAGGCAGGAGGATCACAAGTTCAAAGTCAGCCTCAGCAACTTAGTGAGACCCTAGGCATCTCAGCAAGACCCTGTCTCTAAATAAAATATAAAAAAGGGCTGGGGGTGTGACTAAGAGGTTAAGTACCCCTTAATCCCAGTACCAAGAAAAACAAAATCTTAGTTCTTAAGAGAGAAGGGGTGGGGATTTCAAATGATTTTTTGGTTTTTTTTTTTGGTACCAGGGATTGAACTTGGGGGCACTCAACCACTGAGCCACATCCCCAGCCCTATTTTGTGTTTTATTTAGAGACAGACTGAATTGCTTAGTGCCTCACTGTTACTGAGGCTGGCTTTGAACTTGTGAGCCTCCTGTCTCAGCCTCCTGAGTCGCTGGGATTACAGGCGTGCACCACCACACCCAGCTCAAATGATTTGYTTTTACCATATGACAAGATACTCGGGCACCAGGCCACCAGGGAATGAACCTCATAAACATAACCTGGGGCAGAAGGGGCCTAACCCAAAGGAACACGCGAGAGGTGACTCTATCCACAGAGTTCAGGCTGCAAATCCAGTCTATGTGRTCTGCTAGGAACATTCAGGTGTAAAAACCATACAGAAACACAAGGAAATATTTACCACAAAACAGTGTTTACCTTGAGAAGGAGGAAGTTGTGATCAGAGAGGGGTTGGTTGGGGGACTTCTGGGCGCTAGTTGCATTTTATTTCTTGACGTGGGAATGGCCACTCCAGTGTTTGCTTTGTAATTGTTCATTTAATGTGTGTGCACGTGTGTGTGTATACATACATATAATAAGCTTTATGAACTTTCGGCATGTTTTCCAAGGAGTTGGGGGGCAGGGTCTGGGGCACATGCCCATCCCCACTCCTAACTAAGGGAAGGCAAATTTAAGCAACCAAGGGGATGGCGACCTGTCACACTGGCACAAAGAGAAGAGGCTGAGATTGCACCTGCTAGCCAGGAGGTCCCCATGCTGTTGCAGGCACCAAATGTGGCTCAGAGTTTTTGGAAAGCTATCTGGCCACATCTATCAAAATTTAAAGATGCATCCCCTTGAGCCCAGCCGCTCTGCTTCTGCAAATGCCTCTGACACATAAAAYGTGCTCAACTTTCCTGCTAATTGCTGCCATGTGCAATTTTGTAGGCTATGGTGTGAGGTAGGGCTCCAAGCTTATCTATTCCCCATACTGACCTCTGAACCCTGGGTCTGTCCCCAGGCTCTCTATTGGTTCATTAGTCTATGTACTTAACCTTGCCCAAATTTCATGCTGCCTCAAGTACTATAGCTTGGAAAATTCTTGATATCTGGTACTATGAATCCTTCCACCTTGTTCTCAAAATTGTCTTGGTAATTCTTTTTTTTTTTTTTTTTAAAAACTTTTTTAGTTGTAGACGGGCACAATACCTTTGTTTTATTTATTTATTTTTTAATGTGGCACTAAGGATTGAGCCCAGTGCCTCACCTGTGCTAGGCAAGCTCTCTACCACTGAGCCACAAGCCCAGCGCCTTGTCTTGGTAATTCTTGCTCTTTGTGCTTCTTATGAATTTTAGGATTAGCTTTACACATTTCTATGAAAAGGTCATTTTSAGATTTTGATGGGAACTACATTGAGTTCAGACCATCTGATTCTGTTCCAGAGTTCTCAGGTCTGTTTTGCTTATTTCGCTTTTTTTTTTCTCTGTTAGAGTTTGGGTAACTTCCACTGACCTATCTTCAGGTTCACCAATTCTTTCTTCAGCTACATCCAGATTACTGAAGCATCCATCAAAGGCATTTTTCATCTCCAGGACTGATTTTTGCATTTCCTTTGACTCATAATTTTCCATTCCCTGTTGAAATCCCCCTCTGTTCCTACGTGCTGTCCACCTTTTCCACTAGAACCATTAACACAGGAATCCAAGTCACTTTCCACTCCCTGCCTGAGAGTTTCAGCATCTGAACCAGTTGCACCGAGCTCATGTATCAATCATCTCTCTGGGAGGATGCTGCCTTGGGGAACAGGAAGCCCGGATTTGGAGGGAGGGAGGTCTACTTTTAAGTGTATATTCTTGTACTGTTTGAATTTTCTGTACTTTTTTAATTTTAAAAAATACAACTGATTTTTTTAAGACATCCCTGGGTCGCTGTCATCCCTACCCACCTCCCTGCCCTTAGCCAAGACCCCTGGGCCTCGCCCGCAGCAGAGCCCCCCACTTACCGACGCAGGTGAGGTAGAGCACTGCGTAGGCCAGGGGCAGAGACTCCTGGCTGGAATGATAGGCGATCTGAACCTGGAGGGAGAGAGGGGCCGGTCAGGCTGTGGGGAGAACACGGGGGCTGGGAACCTCGGCCCCACCCAGCTCTTCCTTAGCCTGCTCCGAGTTACTCATTGTTCTGGGCCTGGCCTGGCCCGTCTGTGGGACGGAGCTCTCTGGGGGAGTCTATGGAGACCCAGGTCCCTGTCCTACCAGCGACCCGCTGTGTGGTCTTGGCAAGCCCCTGCTCTTGGGCCTCAGTTTCACCATTTGTAACGAGAGGAGTTTGGACCYGGCAGGTTTAAGAACAGTAAACCCTGGACGTAGCCTGGACTTGAGCCCAGCCCCTCTGGCCTCTGCGACCCTGGCCAAGGCCCGTCCCCTCTCAGAGCTGCCTCTGTTTTCTCATCTGTAAATCGGGGACCATGTAGGTCCACCCCGGAGGATCGTAGTGTATCCTGAGGAAGTGCCCAAGAAACACCAGCTGTTGTCCTCGGCGGGCAGGTGGCCTCATGGGAGGGTCAAGTGCAGGGCTCTGGACAGCCTGGGCTCGGGTCCTGGATCCTTCAGGGGTGAACACCTTGGAAGGTTACTGGCCTCACTTTTCCTAACAGCGGGAGAGTAATCCCCGCCCCACAGCATGGACRGTGGGGATGCTCGCGGGCTCCTCGTGCTGCCGGCTGGAGCGGCCCTGTCCCTGCTGAGCCAAGACACTGAGGCTGGTGATGATGTGGCTGGAGGCAGAGGCACCCAAGTCCTCTCCTGCCCGCCTCTCCTCGGGCCTCCCCCAGATGTGGGCTCCACTCTCAGGCTCCGTGTTCTCAACTCAGTGGAGGGAGGAGATCTTGCCGAGGACCCCGACCCGCTCAGTCCTGAGAGCTCCTAAATCCTGCTGTGACTGATCCCCGTTGCCAGGTGGGGTCAGGAGGGGGGCGGGGGACCCTGGCCTTGGTCTGTCCTAGCAGCCATGGGGCCAAGGAGCTCAGGGTGGGGAGGCAGCCCCAGAGCCCCCGTTCTGCAGGGCACCCGGTCCTCCCGTGCTGCTCGGGGGCACCTGTCCTGCCCCTCGCTGACTCTGCTGCTCAATAGCAGGTGGGACTTCAGGGGACCCACAGCCCTTGGCCTCGGTGTCTCCATCTGCAACGTGGGTTCAGTGAGCCCTGGCCCATGCGCCCCACGGAGCTGCAGCGCGGGTGGGAGCAGAGAGGGGACTGAGGCCACCTGCCACCTGCGCTGGTCTAGTCCTCCTGCCCGTTAGCTGTGTGGCCCTGAAGAGTTGCTCTCAGTCCCTGTGAAAGGGGGACCGGCCCCTCGTGTCACCCACTGGTGTGTGGGTGGATGGCATCCGCCAACCCAAGCCTGACGTGGTCAGTCTCCATGGAGGGGCCCACGTCTCCACCCCCCCGAGTCCTGGTCCCCTTTAGCCCTCCRAGGGGTGTCAAGCTCAAAGGTCACCCATTTCTTCCATGTTTTAAATGCCCCCTGCCCYGTCCTGAAAATGGGTCAGGAAGAGAGTGTCTTTGGGGAAACTGAGGCACCTCAGGGAACTGTCACCTAGGCAGGGCGTCTCCTTGGGCAGGAGTGTCCCTCCCTCCCAGCTTGCCCTTCTTCATTCGGAGCAGCCGAGATCCCCRAGCCAACCCGCGGGCCACAGTGGGGACTGTCACACTGTCGTTCTCGAGTTGAAGAGCTGGGACTCGAACCSCAGCCTCTGGCCCCAGGGCCAGGCGCTCGCCCACACTGGGGAGAGGGGAGGTGGGCCTGTGGGTGGGTGGATGGGTGGCSGCCTCTGCCCCTCCCCTGGGCAGGGCCCCACTCACGTGACTGTCATTGAGGTCGTTGCTGGGGGAGTTCATGACCACGACGATCTCCAGGCCCTCGTCGAAATGCCACCGCCTGGTGTCCGCGCGCTCCCGGCTCCTCTCGAGGGTGGGACAGATGTAGACGTCCACCCCGGGGGTCCCGTACACCTCGAACATCTCTGTGCCCTCGGGGACCGACCTGGGAGAGCAGGGCCGAGGACATGCCGAGGGCAGCCCTTGATCAGGTGCCCGCCCGCSGCCTCCAGGACCACCCTGGGCCGTGGGACCCTACAAGCAGCTCCCAGGCGTGGAGGCCCCGCCCACAAGACCCCGSCGGCTCTCAAGCTTGTGTCCACTCCCGCTCCCCTCGAGGGTGTCTCTGCCTCCAACAGAACTGCAAACTCCTCCCCAGTCAGGACCCAACTGCCTGCTCCAGGCCCACCTCTGCCCAGCGGGCTCCGGGGGCTCTGCGTCTCTAGCTTAGGTAAGATTCTCACCCCAGGTCCCCGACATGGCTCCTTAGCAGGTGATTAAGTATCCTTGGGGTCTCCCTTAGGAAGAGATTAGTTTTTGCTGAGTGTGTGTGCTGTGTGTGTGTGCTGTGTGTGTGGGTGTGTGTGTGAGAGCGAGCTTACATGCAAAGTGAGCAGAATCATGCCCACCTGATGAGGGAGGGAGGTCTCCTTCAGAGAGGTCTAGCAACAAGCTGAAGTCACACAGCATCACACAGCAAAGCCAAGCATGTACTTGCCTCTTTCTGACACTGTGCCCAGGCTGTCCCACAGCACTGCCATGTCCCCTGGGAAACTTGGCCAGATTGGATCAAACAACCAGGTGTTAATTATAGGTTTAAAAGCTCCATGATGCCATTGGTCCCTGGAACRGTGGCTCCCCATTCCTGCTTGGGAACCCTGCCTGAAAACCAGCCTGTCCATCCCTTGATTATGGGGTTCCTGCTCTGCACCCCGGCACTGCGGGCTGAAGCAGGTGCATGTACCACTCTCCCAATGGCCTCAGAGCCTTAGACCCCATGAGGGAGCTGAGGATTGGCATCGCCCAGGGCAGGTGGCTGCAGGCCTGCGTCTCGGCTCAGTGGTCACCACGTAGGGAGAGGCCCCGTGGCGGACCCTGGAGGGGCCCTGGCTGCACACTGGCCCTATGGAGCTGTACCATGTAGGTCTCTCAGGAGCTCTAGGAGCTGAGTGCTGCCGCTGCCTCCCATTTTACCGATGGGGAAACTGAGGGTAAGGAATCCGCCCAAGGTCATGAGGCCRGAAGGGCAGGCTGGGATCCAAACCCAGGCCACCTGGCTCCTGCAGCCACATCCTGCCCCACCAGGCTGGGTCCCAGGAACAGCAATAATCATGACACCCGGGCCCTGCCGGCACACTTGCTGAGGACGCCCACTAAGCCTCCCCCTACATCTGCTCCTGATCCTAGCCACAGCCTCTGAAGGGGCAGTTACGCCAGTCACCCCTGGGAAACCGAGTCTCAGGCTGGGCCAATGCGTCCTGGCGTTCACACAGCTGCCCCACCCAGGCGACAGCCTCAGAGGAAAGAGCCCTTCCAGCCTCCTCCACCAGGGTGGCTGTGACTTCTCACAGTGACTTTCTATAAAGAGAAGTAAACCAGGCCCATCCGTGCTCCATTGGGCAGGCCCCACCCCCGGGACGCAGGCCCCACCCCCGGGACGCAGGCCCCACCCCCGGGACGCAGGCCCCACCCCCGGGACGCAGGCCCCACCCCC